TAAATCATAGGAACTTTTGGTATCCAACAAAACAATCATAGATGAACAAAGTCATAATGATTATTTACCAGATTGCTGTTGGCTCTACTCCTGTACAACCTGTTATCACTGTTTTTCTCAAGCATTGATGGCAATGCAAGAGTATGTGTTGGGGGGGGGCATTTTCCCATTTTTACATGTATATGTATGTATCTTTATTTTAAGCATAAAATATAGTTGTTGTCACTATATTCTCTTCCTTGTTGATTGCCCAGGGACTTTGCCTGGTCTAGTTTAGTGACGTGTCAGTGCAAGTTGTTGAATAGATGTGGCTAAATAGGCAACATTACTTTGTTCTTGATCTCAGGGGAAAAGCTTTTATCCTGGTTTCACCAGTATGATGTTAGCTGTGAGGTTTTTGTGTGTGTGTGTGTGGAAGGAATGAGTTAGTGAGCAGGAGTTCATTTTTTTCTTTTGTTTAAGACAGAGTCTCACTCGTTGCCTCTGGTAGTACACAGTGGTGTTGTCATGGCTCACTTCAACTCAAAGTTTAAAAAGTATATCTTTACAGCCTTTGTGCAGAGAATTTTTGGGAGATGGTATGAATCCTTTTAATTTTGTAGAAGTTTCTTGACTAGTCGTTTCATATCTTTGTATTTTATTTTAAGAGGCTATCATGGAAGCTATATGAATGGATCTCTGTAGTATTTATACAGTAATAAAAATCTGTAAAGTAATGTGTGCACCTGTGCAGTAGATTGTTAGGTACCATTAACTCTGATGTAGATATTCACAGTAAGTTGTGTGTGTGAGAGAATGTGACCCTAGTTAGTAGTATTTTAAGTATTCTTTTTTTTTTTTTGAGACAGAGTCTCACTTTGTTGCCCAGGCTAGAGTGAGTGCTGTTGGCGTCAGCCTGCTCACAGCAACCTCTGACTCCTGGGCTCAAGCGATCCTCCTGCCTCAGCTCCCGAGTAGCTGGGACTACAGGCATGCATCACCATGCCCGCGCTAATTTTTTTGATTACTATACTTTTATGGTCAATTAATTCTTATTTTTAGTAGAGACGGGTCTCGCTCAGGCTGGTTTTGACTCCGACCTCGAGAATCGCCCGCTCAGCCTCCCAGAGTGTAGGATTACAGGCGTGAGCCACCGCGCCAAGTATTCTTTTTTTGATAAAAGAGAAAGATATACAGTGCGAAATAAATAGGTTTGGTACTAGATGGTGAATTCATGGATTACTTTTTATAATTTTTTGTGCTTGATGTGTAAAAATTTGTAATTTTAGAAGATGTAATAATAATGTGAAGCGGATGAATATCAGTGGTGCTTGGACTGGAGCATGCTGCATAAGTCTGCTAGGTAATTAGTAATGTATATTTTTTAGGTTTCTGACTCCAGGAGCAGAAGGTATAGATAGGTATTAGGGAAATGGCAAACTTGCTCCTGTAGACTTAGAGCAACAGGGCATCAAAGTTCAATTTCCTTCATTCTATGAAAATTGATTATGTGAATTGATGGAGTTATCTTGTCATACCCAGGTAACTTAGAATTAGGAGACCAGGGGGAATGGCCTGCCCAGGGATTATATTACAAGCAGCTGCGAAATGCTATAACCTAAAAACCGTTTTACCTGGTAGCTGCCCTGACTCTAATACTAATTTACCTACTGCCTTCACATACTAATTAGAGCCTGTCAGCTTCCCAACCAAGTTCCAAGTACTAATGATTTCTTCCAAACAGTACCTAACATTCTCTTTCAATAACATTCTAACCTTCTCTTTGTTATCAAAATATTAGAGGTGACCCTGACTGTATGTGTATGTCTTGGATTGCAATCCTACTTCTTGTTTATTTTTCCCAGATAAAAGCCTTTTTACTTAGAGATTTCTCTCTCTCTCTCTCTCTTTTTTTTTTTTTACTTATTATTTACTCCAAAACCAGATGTATATTGTGCAAGTTCCATCTTTTAAGAGCTCATCTTGCTCTTTGGTTTCCATTTTGCATTCTTATGTTATCATGTCACTCATTCTTTTGTCTGTTGCACTGGGACTTTTCTGGTTTTTTTTTTTTTTTTTTTTGAGACAGAGTCTCGCTTTGTTGCCCAGCCTAGAGTGAGTGCCGTGGCATCAGCCTAGCTCACAGCAACCTCAAACTCCTGGCTCAAGCAATCCTACTGCCTCAGCCTCCCGAGTAGCTGGACTATAGGCATGCGCACCATGCCGGGCTAATTTTTTCTATATATAATAGTTGGCCATTTATAGTTAATTTCTATTTATAGTAGAGACGAGAGTGTTGCTCTTGCTCAGGCTGGTTTCGAACTTCTGACTTGAGCAATTTGCCCCTCGGCCTCCAGAGTGCTAGGATTAAGGCCACCACGCCCAGCCTGCACTGGGACTTTCAGTTGGTTTTGGGTCAGGAAATGATTATGTGATGTGCAGGTAAATACAGTGAGAGTGTATGTAAGCCCGTATATATATATACTATATATTATGGGAAGGATTGAGGTAAAATTTTCACTGATGTGGACACCAACGTTGCAAATGTCTTTCTGGGTGTACTGTAGCAGTGCTACAGCAGTTAAACTGAGGTCACAGCTGGCTAGGTTGGGACGAAACAGACCTGTATAGGCCAAACAGCTGGGGTTATATAATCAACCACTCACATGGACTGGAATGGCCTTCTGAATGTTTATAATTCAAATAATGTCGAAAAAATGCGATAACTCCCCACAATCCTCACTTTATTTAGATTATTTGAACGAATGTGTGTTAAAGCTGAGAATGCTATTATTAGTTCTTATAGCTTTTTCCTCTAGATCATTCAGTAAGCTGTTTTAGCTTTTTTTGAGACACAGTCTCACTTTGTTGCCCAGGCTAGAAGTGAGTGCCGTGTGTCAGCCTAGCTCACAGCAACTTCAAACTGCTGGACTAAGCAATCCTACTGCCTCAGCCTCCGAGTAGCTGGGATATAGGCTGCACCACCATGCCGGGTAATTTTTCTATTATATTAGTTGGCAATTAATTCTTTCTTATTTTAGTTAAGACTAAAAATAGAAAGGGTCTCGTCTTGCTCAGGGTGGTTTCAAACTCCTGACCTGGAGCAGTCCGCCTGCCTGGCCTTCAGAGTGCTAGGATTACAGGCGTGAGCCACCACGCCCGGCCATGTTTAGCTTTAAAAATTTTTTTTTGAAATAGAGTCTCACTTGTTGCCCAGGCTAGAGTGAGTGCTGTGGATCAGCCTAGCTCACAGAACCTCAAATTCCTGCCTACTGCCTAGTCCTCAATAGCTGGACTACAGGCATGCTACCACCATGGCCGGCTAATTTTTTTTATATATATTAGTTGCCAATTAATATCATTCTATTTTTTAGTAGAGGATGGGGTTCGCTCTTGCTCAGGCTGCTTTCAAACTCCTGACCTGGAGCAACTCCGACCTCGGCTCCCAGAGTGCGGTATTACAGGTGTGAGCCACTACGCCCAGCCTTTAAAATGTTTTGTTGGGAGTTAGTATAGATTTTAGTTAACAAGCGCATGTTAAAAAAAAAAATTTTAGATATACTAGAGGAGTTAATTAGGGTAGTTCAGAAAATTCCTATAATAGCCCTCACCTAATTTCCCTGTTGACAGAGTTGTGTTGCCTTTGTGAAACTAAGAAGCAAATTGCCATGATACCATTAAGTCACTCCAGAAGAGTACCTTCTTTTTTTTTTTTTTTTTTTGAGACAGGTCTCACTTTTTACCCAGGCTAGAGTGAGTGCCGTGGCGTCAGCCCTAGCTCACAGCAACCTCAAACTCCTGGGCTCAAGCCATCCTTCTGCCTCAGCCTAAGTAGCTGGGACTACAGGCATGCACCACCATGCCCGGCTAATTTTTTCTATATATATTATTTGGCCAATTAATTTCTTCTATTTAGTAGGAGACGGGTCTCACTCTTGCTCAGGCTGGTTTTGAACTCCTGACCTCGAGCAATCTGCCTGCCTCGGCCTCCCAGAGTGCTAGGATTATAGGCCTGAGCCACCGCGCCCGGCCAGAAGAGTACCTTCTTAAGAGTACCTTCTTAAGAGTACCTTCTTAAAAAAAATTTTCTAATTTATTTAGTTTTTTTGAGATAGGGTCTTATTCTGTTGTCCAGGCTGGAGTGTAGTGGCATCATCATAACTCACAGCAACCTCAAACTCTTGGGCTCAAGTGATTCTCTTGCCTCAGCCTCCTGAGTAGCTGGGACTACAAGCATGTACCACGGTGCCTGGCTAATTTTTGTATTTTTTTTAGAGAACGGGGTCTTGCTCTATTGCTCAGGTGGGTCTCAAGCTCCTGGCCTCAAGCAATCCTCTGGTTTTGGCCTCCCCAGATTGCTAGGATTACAGGCGTGAACCGCCATGCCCGGTGTGATGTTGTTTTTTTTTAAAATATTTTTGAATGAAAATAGTAACTGGAAAAGAGTTTTCTGCATAGGGTGACTAACAGTGTTTGAAAGTTTCTTGGTTTTTAATTAAAAGTCTTTAAAAATTGTAGTTTAAGGAGGAGTAGTTTAAAGTATCTTAAAAATAGTTAAAAACATTTTTTATTTAGTTAAATTCATCCTCTTCAGCTGACGAGAATACCTTTTTAGAGTTGACAGCAGAGCTTTTTTGCTTTTTTGACACTGGCTCTGGTTCCAAGCCTATGTCTGGAGAGTTGTTTCTGTTGCTTCTTGTTCTAATACTTTCTCTTGTGCTGATTTTCCCCAAAGGGCCAGAGGAAAGAAAATTCAATAAACCACTTGGCCAGTTAAGATGAATAAGAACTTTAGGTCACTTGGTCAAAGCAGTGGGTCCTTTTTGCTTATTTTATGCTTATTTTTCCTAGGAACAGATTCTATATAGTTCAGAGGCCTAAATTCAAGATCCTTCTGTTTTTCTGGTTAATCAGTATTTCTATTACCATAGTGCTATACTACTAAGGAGCTTTATCTGTTTGTACCCTAACTTAATATTTTTGGTGCTCAAATCTTTAATAATTATGTGTGTGCTTTACAGGCAACAGCTGAACAGATGCGTCTCGCTCAAGTGATCTTTGATAAGAATGATTCAGATTTTGAAACTAAAGTTAAACAGGTATGTTTCTGACGAAGGATATCATTTTTGTAATCTATTCTTAGGCTTAAAAAGATAATTTCAGGCCGGGCTTGGTGGCTCATGCCTGTAATCCTAGCACTTTGGGGGACGAGGCGGGCGGATGCTCAAGGTCAGGAGTTCGAACCAGCCTGGAGTGAGACCCCGTCTCTACAAAAAAAAATGAAATAAGATAATTGACCAATAAAATATATATACAAAAGAATTGCCGGGCAATTGGCGATGCCTGTATCCACGTACTCGGAGCTGAGACAGTGGATCGCTGCGCCGGGTTAAGGTTGCTTGTGAGCCATGGCTGATGCCGACGGCACTCACTCGTAGCCTGGGCAACAAAGTGATGGGACTCTGTTCAAAAAAAAAAAAAAAAAAAAAAATAATCAGTAAGAGATTCAGTTTTAACGTAAGCTGTGCTATATCTCCAGCTCATCTAGTATATGGATTTTTGGACTTGTGATTAAGTACCTTGGTTGGTGGGCAGGTGTGAAGGGATTGAATATTTTCATCCTCTTGGCCGTAGATGCTTTCTGAGTTACCAATGTTTACATGCGAACATTGGGCTAGATATTTTTGAAGCTACCCTGACATTTTTTATAACTGTATAGAAAGTATATTTAATATTTTGTGTGTTCTCAGGAAATTTGGTTTCATGTTATGGAAAAGCTGAATTGCCTTTTCAAACATGGGTGTGATTCCAAACTTTAGTTGGGAAAGTATAAAGTTAAATTTTTAGGGCAATGTCTTCATTTGAAATTTTAATGAGAGGTGTTTGATAACTTATTTCAAACCCTACTTTAGTGTCGTCTTTTCCCATCAGAGTTCTAGAAAGCAAACTGTAATCCTTTCATCAGTGCCAAATATTCCAACCCTTTGTAGATGTCTTCCATGAATTATTCCTTGCAGTAAATTTTCCACAGTGTACTTTTTTTTTTTTGAGACAGAGTCTCACTCTGTTGCCCAGGCTAGAGTGAGTGCCCGTGGCATCAGCCTAGCTCACAGCACACCTCAAACTCCTGGGCCTCAAGCATCTGCTGCCTCAGCTCCCGAGTAGCCTGGACTACAGGCATGCGGCCACCATGCCCAGCTAATTTTTTTATATCTATT